CTGTTTTCCAGGTAGTTGACCTTTTATTTTTAGAAATGGAAATAAATGTCATAGCCAATTGTAAAAAAATAAAAAATAAAAAAGTACTTTAATTGTCAATTTTCATATAAAATAAAGTCAAACGAACACTAAACTTTGATAAAAAAATGATTTTTTAGGAAACTTTTTTTTTTTTTACTTTTTGGCAATGGAAATAAATTTTATAACCAATTATAAAAAAAATCACTTTATTGACAATTTCTATGTAAAGCAAAGTCAAACGAATAGAAAATTTAAAAATTTTCCGGATGGAAAATTATACCAATCAAACATACTTGAAATCATTTTCCCTGTAAAATATTTTCTAGGCAAATCTTTTTTCTGTAAAACATTTTTTTCCACTCATTTTCCACACTTGCAATCAAACGCACCCTTATTATATTCCTCCACATCTTCCATATAGATTTTCTCCATGTTTATAGACTCTTTAATCCAATTTTGTGTACACATAATTACAAAAAATAACATGTAGAACAAAATCAACCACCCTTAGATTTATTTTTAGGTATTGATTAGTTTTTCTCACTTTTTTGGGTGTTAGTTTTTTTTTTTTTTTAATTTCTGTCATTTTTTTTTCTATTTCCTTCATTTTTTGAGTGTTAAGGGTTTTTAAGGTTTTGTTGTTGTACGAAAATGTGATCGTTTATATGAATTTTTTGTGCGCGTAGAAGGCAAAGTTCGTAGAAGCCAAGATTCATATGGAGATATTCGCGGAGGGGGAGAACGGGAAACTGTAATCAACTTTGGTGAAAGTTTTTGACAGGATGTAAGATGTATGTCACTTTTTTAAATTTCTATTGATTTTCGTTAATTTTTTTAAAGCTTGTCACTCTTGTTTCCTATCATACACTCGAAAATTTTGTCAAATTTTTGAGCGTATGTCACTTTGAAATAATTCTATCACTCTTTATTTTCTGTAACTCGTAAAAAAATTGTCACATTTTTTGAATTTTTATTCTTTTTGGTGTGTCGTTTTTTATTTTCTGTTAGCTTTTTCTTTAAAAAAAATTTTCGTCACTTTTTAGTGTCACTTTTTTTTTTTTTTTTGAATGACTATCACTTTTTAGTCACTTTTTTTCCTTTTGTAGAATTGACATTTAATATTCGCTCAACAATATTGGTTCAAATGAAAAATTACGTTATATTCTTCTTCGTACGAGATAACATATTTAAATGAAAATTTTAGTACACATTAGAGGATTCAGAAAAGTGACATTGCCATGTCATTTTTCTCATTTTCATATTTGTATTTACATTTTCACAAATACCTAGCATGCATAATTTAAATTGATTCAAAATTGAATTTTCATATATACCAGCCTAATTCATTTCATACTAATCTAAATTTCGATATATACTAACTCAAAATTATTAATCTAAAGATGAAATTTCATATATACTAGAACAACATTAGCAATATCGAAATCAAGTTGAAAATTGTGTTCGTGATTCCTACAATTAAATTGCGTAGCTTCACCCATCATGTCACTTTTTATGGTGGAAGTATAATTCATATTTAAGACAGAATGTGATTGTATTAGATGAATAAATGATGAGATTAACGTAGAATAGAAAACGAAAGAATAAAGACACAATAGTAATTACTGAACATCGTGGAGAAGTCGAGGAAAATTTGTCAAAAAATAAAGAAAATAAACAACAAGAAGCAGATCCCCAACATTGAAATTGGAATGGCAGAGTCCCTGTTTTCTTCTCTTTTGGAATGCACATAATTATTGACCACAAATCAAGCATTTTAACCATATTATGGTGTGTTTGAGCCACATTATTTTGGAAGAATGTATTTTGTAATAGTAGATTGATGGAGAATGTGTGATTGAAAAATAAGGAAAAGTTATTGATCTGATGNTAGAGCCTGTTTGGGAGAGATTTTTGGGGGAAGAATTGATTTTGAATAGTGATATGATGGGAAATGTGTGGTTGAAAAAGAAGAAAAAATTATTGATGTGATGGAAAATATTATTTTATCGAAGAATGTGTGGTTGAAAATGAATAGAAGAATGTGAATGAAAATTTTAATGTGTACCAAACATGGGATAATACGGTTTTAATCAAAGCATTGACTTTTCTACTGATATTTCAAAATGATTTAAATATTAAGAGTATTTCTCTAAAGTCCCCTTGAATTAATTAATTCATGGACCAAGTTTAATTAATTAAGTATTGGACCATATTAAGTTTAAGTGACGGAGCAGCCCACTTGAGTTTCTATTAATAAGACGTTAGGGTTGAGAAAGCATAACATAATTCATTATCTTGCCAGTACAAGAAGAGAGAAATCTTAATTCTCCCATCCATGTTCCCTGTGTGTATTTTTATTGGATGATTGACAATTAGACAGCTATGATTTAGAATTGTTCTTCGCAGAATTATCTAAATGTATAATTTTTTTATCACATTTTCTTTATAAACACAAAGTAGATCCCAGGTGAAAATTGAAATATTGTTTAAATTTTGTTGTGCATGTTAAGTAAATTCCCAACATACCTCCCCTTTTACCCAAGAGACCAGTTTCAAAGAACATATCGAGCATCCATCTCACAAGACCCTCAAGTTCAGCTTCATCCACATCTCCAATTTTTCTGTTAAGGTCATCATGATCCCATGGCCCCTCAGGATCCACATGTTTCGCAAAATATCACGAATCCCCATAACAAGTAGCAAACATTGTTCTACTACTCGCACATCAGGTTAATGCTCTTTTCCCAGCTTCTCATGAAGTCCCACAAACTACATATCCTGGGCTACGTCCTACCATTCACTGGATTCCACCTATTGCTCCGCCCATAATTCATCCCTACAAGGACGAACAATTATATACGCCCGGTCAGCCTCGGGTACCTAGTCCTCATGCTGGCTAGGGGCCAGTCCCCCTTTCCACTGCCTGAGCATTTCCCATGTCATGCTTACAACCTTGGGGCTTTGGAAATCGGGTAATCAGGACCTCTTCGACCAGTCGCTCTTTTTCCTAAGTTAGGCCTACTCACCTTGACTCGTGTGGCATTATTTGTCCACGGACATTTTATTGCTGAGATAAAAATAAAAGACAATAAAATATAAAAATAAGATGAAAAAATTGTGGGCCGTCAAAGCTTTCACTATATGAAAAACTTGTACAATCATACATAATTACACTCACCCAAACCCCCAAGTATTGTACAAAAAAAATACCCTAAACTTGACCGTACTCGCCAATCTTTACTCTTTTAATTGACAACAAAGAGACCAGTTTGTCTATA